GATGCACTCTCTAAATATAATTTTTTGATAAAGCTCCTGAGCCCCACCCCCTTCTAAAGAGTTTTCAGACAAGGAATCTGGGTACTTTAAGCTATCCCTGGCCAGGGGCTGAGGATGTATAGCTCAGAGGTACAGCATGTGCAAGGCCTTGGGTTTGATCCCCAATACCAAAAAAAACCCAGAAGCTATTCCTAGCCAAAGAAATTTTCATGGTGAAAATGCTTCTTATAATCACCTGCTGCTGAGACAGCCACCCCACTCACACTTACCACCTCCTCCTTCCTCTGGAGTCCATGGGCTGGATGCAACAGGATGAATGGCAGGTGTGCTGAAGTCTTAATGAGAGGTTTTCTCTGCCGGATTGCCTACATCCTGCCCACCTCAGAGACTCCTTGTGAGTAACTTTACCTTTGAACTCTCCTTGAATTCAGCCCCTGATCCATAGGATTTGGTGACAATCCCTGGCTGGCAGGAAGCTTTGATCCTTGGGGAGTCCAGAGGAAGTCCTGTGATGTGTGGGATCCCTGGAGTTACAGGGATTGGGGAGAAGCTAGAGGGTGGGTTACCAAGATAGACCCATTAATTAAGAAGGAGCCTTTGCTTAACACTCAGTTAACCTAAAAAAGGAGATCCGGTGTCTGATAACAGGAGCTCAGCACCCCTCAAGATGAAGTAGTGTTTGTACAAGCATTATTGTTATTTTAAGGACATAGTGGTAAGTGAAGGGAAAATTCCTACCCACACCCCAGAGAGAACAGAACACCTCAGAACTTCCCCCTTTTAACAAGGTAAAGCTGTCTTTGAATGTTTGACATTATAGCAAAAAAAAAAAAAATCTCTAAGATACTTCTGACTAGGTAAAAGATTCCTTCCGGGGGGAAAAAGATGACCATGTAATTAACAGTGGAAACTCTAAAATTTCTGTGAGTGACATGCAGTCCACTGAAAAGAACGTAGAAGACTTTTCTTTCGGCTGGTTTTGCTTAGAAACTGCCTTTCTTTGAAGTGACTGGGATGAGGAAACTCACTAAGGCTTCCCAAAGCCATTCTTGGTACTACCCAAAAAATGTCAGAGTGAAAGCCCTTTCACGTGGAGGTCGTTCCTCCTCCCCTACCCACCTCCAAAGGTGAAATGACTTCCTTTGCTTGCACAAAATCACATATGCATTTACCTCTCAGATGGAGACTGCTGTGCAGTGTATGTGCCTGCCTCCCCGGTGAGCTGGGACTGCCAGAGGGGCGGGTTCGTGCATTATTCACCTTTTACATCATCAGCATATGGCCTGGGCATGACACAGGCTCCTAATAGTAATTATTGAATGAGTGAGCAATCATGAGGTAGTAGCTGTGGGAAGTCATCCTCTTTCCCGAATCATCTCATTTTTACACTGCCAGGAAAGATAAGACTTTGAGGAGAGATAGGACTCCTCACATGAAGATAGGTTATAAGTGGGCAGGTGGGCTGTTGCCCTCATTAGGGTCGGAGACTTGTCTTTAAGCTGACAGGAAGCCTGTCAGGCATTGGGCAGCATCATTGTGAGGCTGACTCACAGGACTCAGGCACTTAATAAGGTGACACTGGACAAGAAGCATCGAGAGTTAACAGGGTTGACTTTATAATATGCACGGTCTGGTACAAAATCAAAATTCAGGGTCCCTTGGTAAAAGAGGAAAACTGCCACTAATGGTAGTGAAATATGAAATTTTTCCTTTCTTCCAGTTTCACATTCTTGACTTGTGATGGTGCTTATTTGCTATTAATGGTCTAAGTAGAGAAGAACTAAAATGTGAAACTATTAACATGAATTGTACATCTCATCTTTGTTTTGTGCAATGCCAATTTTTTAATGCAAACATAAAAGGACTTAACTTACTCACACAATCACCAGAATTACACAATTTGTATTTAGCCTGTACATGCATGTGTATTTCCTCCTTTGCAGAATAGTAGAAACTGCACAAAATGAATTCAGCTATTTTTATTTCACTTCTTGATCCATGCACATGCTACCGACACCCTCTACCTTTGGTTTACTGATTTAAGGATTGAAAGGAAGAAAGAACGACAGGTTGTCCTGATTCTTTCTGTGCCATCGTTTTTTGATGTAAATGTGTGTCTACAACAAAGAAGTAAATAAGTAGGAAAGGATGTGATACAGGGTTCCTTGGTCAACCGTGTTTCTTGGAAAGCCATTGCCTTCTTTCTGTGTTGGAAGCATGTTCCAGAGGGGATGGGAAGTGGGCCTCTCCAGGCTGTCAGTTCCTCCATTTGCTCGGTACTCAGGGTAACTGACATACTGACTTGGTACTCAGGGTAACTGACATACTGACTTGTACTTGATTCAAGTCTTGTTGAATTTCTACACACTGAGAATCTGCCAGAATTCTGTGATCATGGGACATAATGACAGCTATAGGCAAGTGTGCTAGTTAAGAATGGTGGACACACAAATTACACATGTCTCTCTGCTCACTTGTCTCATTAGATGCTCCATTGTCTCATTAGATTTCATTAGCAGAAGTTCAAAGACAAAATTATTAGGAATTTTAATATTGTAACAGCAGATCATTTTAAACCAAAGCAGCATGGGGTCTGCTTAGCATGGGACCTTGTGTGACTTCACATATCCATGAAGCCAGCCCTGGTTGTCTGGCATTGTTTCACTAGACCTTAGAATTTGAGGATTTTACCAAATGAGAAACTGGCCAGAAGTAGCCTGTGCACCTTCATTCATTCATAAATATGATATGGTATTGCCATTATGATGCACTTGATCTACACTGACACAGCCACAGTGTCCACAGCACTTATGATCTAGTGAGGAAAACCATTGTTAAAGTATACAATAGTCATACCCCACCACCAAGAAATAAGTACAATTACACATACATATTTAAATTACAATTGTGATGGGGCTACAAACAACTACAGGAGGTAGCCAGGCGCTGGTGGCTCATGCCAGTAATCCCAGCTACTCAGGAAGCCGAGAGCAGGAGGATCGAGGTTCAAAGCAAATAGTTCCAAGAGACTGTATCTCAAAAAAACTCATCACAAAAAAGGGCTGGCTCAAGGTGTAGGCTCTGACTTCAAGACCCAGTACCACAAAAAAAAAAAAAAAAAAAAACTACAGGAGGGTAGGAAGGAATCCCCGAGGAAGTGGCATTTTGAGCAGAGGGTATAGGAGTTGTAGGGTGAAGAGGAAGTGACAGTATCCCAAAGTGAGGGAACAGCATTGCAAAGGCATTGTGCTGGGAAGGAGCTTTGCTCAGAAAAGGCAAGAAAACCCACATACAGCCACAGCTCATGTAGCCAGAGGGAGGCCAGCTGTGGGAAAGACAGGTCTGGGGCTTGTTCTGGGGAGCCTTCCTTCTGCCTTCATCCTCCTCCTCTCCAGTACCATGCTGATCAATATCATCAAAAGGCAGAAAGGTGGACTGGAGGCTAGACTCAATCGATAGAGCACCTGCCTAGCAAGCTCAAAGCTCTGGGTTCAAACCCAGTACCACAAAAGGAAAGAAAAGGACAGGGTGGCAGGGGAGCTGAAGGGCTGTTTCTGTATTCCTAGAGCAAATCCAAAACATGTGGTACTGCATGCTGAATGTGCTTGTCTAGAATGCTTGGGGATCCTGGACCCAGACCATGTAATTTTCAACCACCAATTCACCATTTCTCATTATTTCTATTTGCCATCTCCACTTCACTGTTCCTAAAGTGTGACCTCCCTTCTCTGACCTCTCCTCTCTCTCTCTCTCTCTCTCTCTGCTTTTTTAAGGCCTTACCATGTTCTATTCTGTATTGTCTTTATGTGCATGCTGTCTTCTCTTTCCTGCCTAAGTCTTTTAAGGGCAGGTTCTAGTTGTGTTACCTGTTAATGACCTGAACAAAAATCTTGGCCTAAGCCAGGCCATGGTGGTTCATGCCTGTAATCCTAACTACTTGGGAGGCAGAGATCAGGAGGATTTCAGCTTGAAGCCAGCCAGGCAAATAGTTCAAGAGATCCTATCTTGAAAATACCCAACACAAAAAGGCTCAAATGGTAGAGCACCTGCCTAGTAAGCATGAGACCCTGAGTTCAAACTCCAGTATCAGCATAACAAAAATCTTTGCCTAGAGCCTAGTGTGGTGGTACTTGCCTATAATCCTAGCACTCAAGAGGGAAGCAGGATGGTCACAAGTTCAAGGCCAAGGCCATAAGCCAGGTGCTGGTGGCTTAGACCTGTAATCTTAGCTACTCAGGAGGCAGAGATCAGGAGGATTGCAGTTCAAAGCCAGCCTGGCCAGATAGTTCACAAGACCCTATCTCAAAAATAGCCAACACAAAAAAACAGATCCTGGTGGAGTGGCTCAAGGTGTAGGCCCTGAGTTCAAACCCCAGTACCACCAAAACCAAACACAAGTTCAAGGCCAACCTAGCTATATAATGTGTAGTTTTGTAAGGTATTATCTTTACAAATAATACCCACAGTGGCTGTGGGTCTGGCCTTGGAGTCCTCTAGTTTCCCATTGCAGAGTTGCAATTGAAAAAAAAAAAGTGTTGAGTTCGGAATCAGAGGAGTCATGAAAACAGAACTTTGATGGACAATTGTAAAATTTACTGTAAAGGCAGTAAAAGGCAGGGCCGCCGAAGAAATAGCCTCTTAGTGCCTGTTTTGGTGTTGGCAGAAGGCTTTGTGGGGAGCTTGGGAGAAAAATGCTATAATTCCTTGCTCTGGGAACATTCATATCTAAGCAGTCTTATCTGTCTGTGGTGCTGAAGCCTCTGCCATGCTTTGGGACTGAAGAGAGAGCCTGGGATCAGTACTTGGTTCCGGGAATAAAGGCCACGTAGTGAGGCATCTGGGGTAAGTGAGAAATACAAAGGAAAGCTATCTCAGGACAAAGTGCGGTGGCTGGCCCTCCCTCCTCTCCAACCTGAGAGGACCATGTATTGTCTTCTTAAGGGAGCCTGAGGGTTTCCTCCCAGTAGACAGATGGTCATGACCTTTTCTCTCTCATGCAGGTGCTGAAGGACGTCCTCAAGGATCTCTACCACCTGCTGAAGCACGTGGTGCGTTTGGAGCCCGATGACGTGGCCAGGCTCCATGCCCAGCTGGCCCTGGAGGAGCTGGATGAGATCATGAGAAACTTCCTGTTCCCTCCGCAGAAGCTGGAGAAGAAGATTGTGGTCCTGCCATAGATTTGGCTCCAAAGACGTGGAGGCAGGGAAGGACCAAGCAACCAGAACAATGCTCATGCTTTCCAGCAGGTGGCCTACTGCCTCTCTGGTGTTGGCAATATGGCAGACCCTGAGGCCTCACGACACTGATCACTTGGTTTTTCAGGCCGACCTTCAAAAGCATCAATCTAGCCACCACCCAGTCCAAAGTGTGTTCAGTTGAAAGAAAAAAGAGCACAAATATTGACCTGCACATTTTTTGCTGTCCTGTGGCATTTAGAAATGAAGTCACCTGATGGAAGTAAATGCTTACATGACTGAATTGCAACTTTAGAAGTTGGTCCTCATAGGTCACATATCTAGATACTGTTTCATGGTGAGGTTATTCTTCCTTGTGATAAGGAGCAGGCAGAGCTAAGTCATCTTTGGCTGCTAACAAGGCATCTGAGTATGAGTGCTGTTGGGGAGAGAAGGCAGTAGTTATCATAACATGCAAAATGGAATAAAATTATCTGGGCTGGAAGGCCAACATGTCTGAATCTGGTCCTCTGGTACTGAGATGCAAAGCTGTGAAGTGGAGAAGGCTTTGATCCACTGAAGAGAGAATCAAGATGGTCAAGTCATCCAGAGAAGGATGAGCCCTTTTGTCCTCTGGGGCCATTTGCTTTTGCTCCCTCAGAGTCCCTGTCCTTCATTTAATCCTGTGCTCCTTTGGAAGGATGAATGCTGAGACAATGGAGTGGTGCTAAATGCAGGCAGGAAGTGTGTTGCACCCTGGTGGCCTGATGCTAGGTTTATTGGAACAATTTCACATGTAGAACTGTGGCCTTCACTTCAGGTATTTATATATTTTGGCCACTGTTTTTTGGTTTGTCTGTTTTGTTTTAAATGGGTTTTGAAATAGGGTCTTGCTATATAGCCCAGGCTGGCCTTGAACTAGGTGTGTGTCACCACACCCAGCCTGGCCACTGCATTTTAATTGCAGCTAAAAGAGATGACAAAAAGGAGAAACCAGCTGGCTGCTTCACATAAGCCTTCCCTAATGTCCACATCTTGACAGAGCTAATTCAGAGTTCTTGAACAGTCCTCAGCTTTGCAGGACTAGGTATGGAATTTCATCACCAGACTTTATCCCCATTCTCTGGGGTGTCCAGATCCAGGGGAAACGAAAACACGATTTCTAAAACCGCAAGTGACTGAAGTATTGACAAACACCACCATCTTCCAGTTAACAGGATAGTTCTCTTTAGCTAGATTACACCCACAGTTTTCAGCTCAGAACCTTCATGGTGGGTGCCTCTTTACAGAGGCCATTGTATATACAGTTAGTTTACTGAGCAACAAATAAGAACAGAAGTAGATTTTTTTTTTTTTTTTGGAGGTACTGGGGATTGAACTCAGGGCCTCACTCTTGCTAGGCACATGCTCTACCACCTAAGCCCCATCCCCAACTCATAGTTTTGTTTGTTCGTTTGTTTGTTTTGTGGTACTGGGGATTGAACTCGGGGCCTCTTGCTAGCAACAGCTGTACAGCTTGGGCCATGCTTCCAGCTCCTAGACATTTTTAAGGAATATGTCCATTCATCTTGTGTAACAGTTTTCATTTCTGTCTGTCAGATCAAGATTGTCTAGGACTTGGGACATGGCTCAAGTGGGAAAGCGTGCCTACCTAGCAAGTGTGAGGCCCTGAGTTCAAGCCCCAGTACCACCAAAACAAACAAAAAGATTATTTAGTAAATCGGATTGGAACTTTCAAATCATAGAGGGTCTTCTTTGGGCCAACTGGATAAACCAAGAATTCTTAACTTCATAGGCTTCCTTTAGATGTATGCAACCCACTTTTAACAACCAGATTGAATATGTTAGGTGATCAGTTTAACTTTTTACTTTATTTGCATCAAATAAAGTTCCAGTTCCAAGGATACATCCAAATTGATCACCTTGATTATAATGAGAAACTCTCTAGTCTAAAAACCTTGAGCACGTCACAGAGCACCCATGTCCCTTTATCTTTGTTAATAAATTGCCTCTTCATTTGAACTCATTGGCAAGGGGCTAAAAGCATTTGTTCTTTATTGATTTGGTTGGATTCTGTTTGAGAGAGTGACTTTTTCTTTCTGACTTTGTTACCAAATTCAAGGAGAAGATTCCTCACTGTAACCCTTCTAAGCATGACAAAATCAGGGCAGACAGATTGGCTCAAGTGGCAAGCACTGTCCTAGCAAGTATGAGGCCCTGAGTTCAAGCCCCAGTACTGCCTAAATAAATAAATAAGAAAGCACAAGCTTAAATTTTAAAGGGCACAGAACGCAAAGGTCCTAAGACTTGGCAGAAACAAAAGTGACTCTTCTATGCATGATAGAACCTCACACCTCCTCCCATCTCTTCTCCCTTATAGGCCATCTTCTTCCTGCTGCCCTCCACTTCCTTCTCTCCACTTCTATCACTGAAGTTCTCCTGACACTCCCCCTTACAGTCCCCTCCCTTGCCTAGTGGTTTTCACCCAGACTCTCCTATAGCACCCACTTGGTCTTTCCTTTGGCCTGTCCCTCCTCCTGTCCTTTCTCTTTTTGGTCACTTCCTCCTCACCCAAAGCCCACTGTCCATACCTGTTGGCTTACCACAGGTAGCCCTGTTGTGAGAGACATGAGGGACCCAAAGCAGGGACAAGGCTGAACCTGGGGATCTCCTTCCTGCTTGTTCAGGTTAAACTTCCTGAACGTTCTGGAGAGTTTCACTTCTCTGCTTTGTTTTTCTTCCTCCTTGGCACAGACTTGCCTTTCTAAGTTTCTCAGTTATTTATCAGAAATCTCTTTCACTTTGCTCCTTATCATCCCTCCACATACATAATTCCTCCATTCCTTTGCTCTCCTAAGGCTCTGCCCACCTTCCTTAGCTAAGAGCAGAGGTGCCAAGAAAGTGGGAAGCCAAATAAATGACTCTTTACGAAGCACCTATGTGCCAGGTGCTGCCCTGCACAGCAGAGAACAAAACAGAGGACCCTCATGTTTGGGAGGTAGTGGAGGGAGGCTGACAATGAATAAGTAAATGAATTACGTAGAAGGTCAAGCAGTGAGAAAAGCTATAGGGAGAATAAAATCAGAGAGGAGGCTGGGGAGCATGTGGGATGGGAGCTGTGAGTCCAGGTAAGTCGTGCACAGGTGGCCTTGCTGAGAAGTTGATATCTGTGTAAAGGTTGGAAGGAGGTGAAGGAGCGACTATAGAGACATCCAAGAAGAGCATCCCAGTGAAGAAATAGCAAGTTCAAAGGCCCAGGTCAGGATAATGTACCAGGTTTGAGGAAGAGTTGGTCCCTGAGCAAGGGAGCCAGGCACACACCTATTTTAATGCTTCGTCTCAGTTTTGGAAAGTGCTTTTAAGCCAAGATATTAAGTGCTGTAAGATACAGGAACTACACAGAACCATACGCAGCCCCCTCCTTCCACCCTCAATCAAAAGAAAGGAGCAAGCCCATTCCTCTCCGCCCCTTCTTCCGCAATGTGGCTTTAGTTGCTCCTCTTCTCTGGCAGCAGAAAGAGGACAACAAATGTGTGACTGGGCCCTTGGTCCACCACCTGCCCTGTCCCTTTGTGTGAGAGGGTACCTGAGTGAAGCGTTGCCTGCCACCTGCCAGAGACTCTCACTTGCCGTTTGCGGCAGTGGAAGAATGGCTGTGACATGGGAAAGGGGTCCCTTTGTGGAAATACGCTGGGGGATGATTCATCTGACCCAGACAAAACCAGAGCGTTTGCAGGTTTCCCACAGAAACCCAAACTTAGCTGGGATGCCATAGCACAGGGTGTGGAGAAACCACAGCTGAGTGCCAGGGTGGGCTGGGAGAACTAGCTTCCCTTTCCTGACCACTGCAGGGGTAGTGCTCTCTCTCTCTCTCTCTCTCTCTCTCTCTCTCTCTCTCTCCCTCTCCCCCCTTCCCCTCCCTTCCTCCCTCTGTCATGCACACACCAGCAGCAGCAGCAGTCACCTTGAGGGCCGGGCTGTGTCCTCAGCAGGCTAGGTTCTGCAGTCCACACAGCAGACTCTGCAGTGCGCAGCACCCTGGCTTCACACACCACTGACAATGGAACCTCCACTTGGGGCTGGGACTGTGGCTGGCTTCCTGTAGTCCCCCTGTTGCCTCCCCCGCTGGCTGGCTCAGGACTGTACTCTGTGCACATGCTAGCAAAGGAAGCAGTGTGCAAGCCCTCACATTTTTCCGGTTAGTGTCCTGTGTCCCTCCCTCAGCTCATCTCAGTAGCTCTGTGATGAGGCCTCAGTTTTTGTGCTCCCTCAGGGTGACCCTCTGTAGTCCCCATGGAACACACAGTAGAAAGATAAGTTGCTCTGTGCTTCCTTTTGTTTCGGAAGTCTTTCCATCCATACCTAGTCAGATGCTCACAGCTCCCTTATGGAACAGGGAGGCAAGCTGTTTTCCCCCTTTGGTAGCATTCGATTCTAGGTCTCCTGGGTCCCAGCCAAGGTTCTGATTAAAAGACTTTCCATGAAATAGTGTGAGCATTTGTTGGATACTGAGAGAGCTTCTTCCCCCACAAAATGAGCACAGAAACAGAAGCAAAGGCTTTTTTTTTTCCCAGTACTGGGGGTTGAACTCAGGGCCTTGCACTTGCTAGCCAGGCACTTGAGTGACTCTGCCAGCCCCTAAAAACATCTTTTATGTATAGTTTGAGTTGCAAATTTGGGTGCTTATATGGACCCTGGTATGCATGTGACGACCATGAAAGTCACTTGAGCCTCACTGACTTGCTGAGGGCCGCCTCCCCCCTCCCATTGCTGCCCTCTGCCTTTCTGAGGGAGGGGAGTGCACAGCCTGCAGTACCGGTGACCAGGCTGCCTGTGTGGGCATGAGCACTTTCACATAGCACATGTCATATCAATCATAGTAAACTTAATGATCCAGGCGCTGGTGGCTCGTGCCTGTAATCCCAGCTAATTGGGAGGCAGAGATCAAGAGGATTGGGGTTCAGATCCAGCCCAGGCAAATAGTTCAAGAGACCCTATCTTGAAAATATTCAAGACATAGCTGGTGGAGTGGCTCAAGTGGTAAACAGAGCCTACCAAGCATGAGTCCTAGAGTTCAAAGCCCAGCACCACCAAAAAATAAAAATGGGCCCTTAATGCAGTCCTACTACCATAATAAACTTAATGTGTACGTAACAAAGAAAGAAAAATGGCCACAATCAT